CTCTCTCTCTCTCTCTCTCTCTCTCTCTCTCTCTCTCTCTCTCTCTCTCTCTCTCTCTCTCTCTCTCTCTCTCCATGCTGTGTCTGGTTATCCTTTGTTCCTAGCATGAACCATTTCGTTCCAAGACCACCACGGTTTTTTGTTTGTTGTTTCCTTGCCCTTGGCTATGGTTTGCACCCATGAATCTTTTCTCAGGAGGGCAGTGGTTTTGAAAAAAAAAAAGAAAAAAGGAGGGGGATTGGATGGAACACCTGAATCGGGGTGTGTTTGTGGAGAGGTGCAGAAAATGGATATCGATGCCTTTCTGCATGTCAGCCTAAAACACATCCACATTCAGCCTCTTAATCCAATCTTTGCTAGTGGGACTTTGCCCTAGAAGATGGTCATGCATGGGCGAGCTTGAGGTGGGGGAGGACGAGAAGAGGTGGAAATCCAGGACGATGATAGGGACAAGGTGAGGGTAGAGAAGGAAGAGGAGAGGTGGGGGTGGTTGGGAGGGCGAATGCACCTGCCTCCTCGGCGTTCTCGCGACTGCCAGTGATGAGCAGCAACACCTGCCTTCTCACGACTGCCCGTGATGCACACTGTGCATAGTGTGACATGCAGGGACTTGCAGCGCACAACGTCGAAGAGCGTCGAGCCAAGCGGGTAGCTACCACCGTTTTCCCTCCAACATAAGGGGCCCTAATAATGAATGTATGCAAGATGTGTTTACGACCACAAGCAGAACACAATGGACCCTCGTAATGAATGTATGCAAGGTATGTTTCCGGCCACGAACAGCCATAATAAGGGTCCGTTGTGTTTGGGGGAAGACAGTGGCAGCCCGTGGGACGCTGGGAGCCAAACTCGATACACTGCAAATATTTTCCACAACGGCGCAGTTTGCCGCCCTTTTGCTTGTAGCCGCTATGTAGCGTGGGAGGAAGATGAAAAATAGCGGTCGGTACCCCTACACATATATGTGTATAGGTGTAGATCCCTATATGCATATATGCATATCTTTTGACGGGTGACCCGTGCCAGGTCTAGACCCGCCCACACCTACCCGTTTTTTCTTAAATCAGGGCAAGACACCCACAACTGGCCGGTTCCTTTTCCCGACAACTGCCCCCAGCCAGGCTGTGGGCCATCCTCCCATCCCCTAGCCACACCTAGCCGGGTGGGACATGGGGCTAGCCAGACCTGCCCACAGCTGTCGGGTCCGCCTGGGGGCAGCTGGGTGCGGCTACGGCCAGCCTTTGCAGGCTCTGATGTCTACTCTTGTCCTTTTTTTTTTTTTTTTTTTTTT